CTGGAATATTGGCTAACAACTAGAGAAAGAAATTAGAGCCAGAATGGAAGAGAACTTCTTAACAGAAGTTACCTTTATATATACTGAAAGCTCAGTTCTTCAGACCCCCAATCTCTCTACCTAAACCAGTACAATTTATACTCAAGAGGCTTGGAAGAATGCTGAACACTGTAAAAGTGTAAAAACTAAAAGTGCATAAACTCTTTGGAAAAAATAAAACCTAAGCAGACTAAGGAGGGAGGAAGAAACCCAAACCTAAGCGAATAGAGCAAATCAAATACGGGGAAAACAGTGCAAGATTTGAAGTTACCCCTTGTTTAATATTCATAGGTGTTTTACAAATGAATGTTATTGGTTATACGTGAAAAGGCATAACTCAAAGCAAACCAAAATATATTGAGAAAAACCACCAGAACAATAGCTAGAATACCTAAGAGCAAGAAAGAATGTTTTAAATCAGCTAAGTGAAACATATTTTGCATCCCTTGTGAAAAGGAAACTCGGGGAACTGTAAACCCTGATTCAAAGAGACAAGCATTCCAAATCTCATTCCAAACCATCACTCTTTCAAGCTGATGCCAAGAAAAAAAAACCTGCACCAAGAATAGTCTAAATCTCTTCTTATGTCCAATAGGTAGGGACTGAAGTAATTATGAATGAAGCTGAATGTATTTGTCCCAGGATAATGTTGTAATCCAATCTGGGTCCGTCACTGGGACCAGAAGTTTAGTCTTTCGAGTTTTTGGACTCATGAGATCTCAAAAAGGACAATGAGAGAAAATAATGGCAACCCATCTTGTAGAGGAGCTGGATGGCATAAAAATTTAATTAATAAATAAAATAGCAATCACCACGAAGTCACCAGAAGGAGCTTAATTCACAGGTGATTTTACCTTTTTTATAAAGTTGCAGCTTTCCCAATCTCCTGATGTAATGTAAATTCCCATCCCTTCCAGCTACTTTGGCTACTGCAGTTTGTCTTAAACATTAAAGTACATGTTCTTTAGCATCAAGATAGCTATCTCCTCTGAACATGGAATACCGGAAACATGAAATTCATTGCTGTGTTCACCCATAATGATAATTTTTTTAAAAATCCAGTGAATGTAGTTGTTTATATCTCCTGACGGGTAGCTGCATTTGTTATTTAAAGTTATAACCTGAGATCTATTCGGTTACATCAACCAAAGTATTTTCAAACAAACAACAAGGTTTCAGATTTTTCAAAGCATGTCATTAGGTAGGAGGTTAACTCAAAATGGGGAAATTAAGGAAGTTAAAGCTAGTGTAGTTCTGGGATCCAATGTCCATATGCCAGAAACAGTTTTGTCATCCCTCAAAAAGACTCTTCTCCCTCTTGGTCTTCATTTCAAAGAGAGAGAGAGAATGTTTTAGTCTTGGGTGGTGACTATACAAACTGGGAAAGGAAGCACAGGTGACCCCTATTTTCTTTTCTTTTTCCATAATACAACTATACATTATCAGGGTCATTTGTAGAAAAAAAGGAATGGACCCACTGTGATTTCCTTTTCAATCACCAACTCATGCTGGCTGTATTTCTGTTTGGAGTTTTTATGTTCTTACTGTGAAGTATAACTATATTGCTAATCTTACAACAAGACTAGAGAACTATAGGTTTACTTGAATAAAAAACATACTATTACTCTATATTTGGGGTAGTAAATGTGAGAGAAGGATCTACATTTAAAGACATATCGGCTATTGCTTAGCGTCATATTCTCATGCCATGGCTAAAACGTTTAAAAATTAGGGGTTCTTAACCTGAAAAAAAAAAAGGGAGGAAAGAAATTGTGTTTTAAAACAAAGCTTCTGTGCGTGGGAGTGCAGCTGTAAAGCAAAGCACATTGTTACCCAAGCAGATATGAAACCATACCTAATATCAAGTCAGGTTTGAAAATTGTTTTGACAGCCACTAGCACAGATCTATTTTACAGCACAGGTCTGATTTATAGGCAAAGACAAGGGCCACAAGCCAAGCCAAACCCACAGGCTGAAGTACATTTTACCACTGTTTTAGCATATGTAACCTAAACTGTACTTCCCATTATATTATTCAGAAATAAAGTTCAGTTAGAAACAATGCAAATACCATCATTTATTATATTACTTCCTTCAATTTACCTCAAAACTATTCATTTATATGCGGACTAAATCTTATTTGCAAGATATCTGTTTTGGATCATATGCCAACCTCTCCAACATTTGCCAAGATGCAAACAAAAGAAAGGCAGTTATGTAATCAGACTATATCTGGTTCCAAGGAAACAGACAATTGTGCAAGGTATTTCGAAGTGGTCTATTGAAAAGTGATGCCACATAATAACTCCTATTCAATCTTCACTTATGTAACATTTATGACAAGGCTACATTTTGCTCTTTACAGACCTTCATTTCCTTGGCATACATCAACAATTGGCAAAGCTACAAAACTGTACTGTTAAAAAGTAAGGTCTTTTAAAATTCATGCTAGATTTCTGATGCCCTCAGGGACTCGTCCATATAGCTTATTTGGCAGCAATGCAAAAAGTGCAATAGTTTGTTGTTCAATTAGAAATCTTTGGAAATGGACCATACGTTTATACTAATTATAGGAAGACAGTCATGGTGATCCATGGTGACAAAAAAAATCAGGATTCCAAAATAAAACTAATTTGATTAAAAGGCATACACTTTCGTAAAGTATTCTTTGCATTGGATTAAGTGTGCTGCAGCTCACAAAAGTGTATGCCTTTTAATAACATTTCTTAGTCAGAAAAGCTGCTATCAGATTCCTGACAGTTTAAACCAAAGCATCCAATCACAGAATCTCATATACTTTATAGGGAACATGGTACTAGTTTCCAAAGTTGAACCATTGTTTTACTTACACAGATACTCTCTTCAAGTATCATCATTCATGCATACAATTCATAATTCATAAGTGACAAATCTGAGCCTTTGTGGCACACCCCACTTGTGACATGTTTCTCCTATAAGGACTCACTCTTTTATTCCTATACAATTTAACTCAGTCACAAACTCACCACTTTTATAAGTATTATAATACTAAGGAATGCAAGAGACAAAATGGCATTGTGATAGTATGACAAACGCATGCATATACACACACCAGAACAAATCAGATTTGTATAATCTTCGACAAGTGTCCTACTGCTATGATGATTAAATGCATGTTTGCATTTAAATATATGGACACACTTTTTCAGAATTAGTTGAGAACAGTGTCCATACCTTATGTCTGGACCAGCCACCTCTTTGATGACTCTCTGTCACAGGGCCTGCCTATCTCACAAGATTGTTGTGGGAACCAAATAAGTACATCACCTTAAGCACCCAGGGAAAAAAGCAGGATATAAATATTATAAATTATATATAGTGCCATATTTTCTGCCATGTGCTCTATCCTCATGCAGGAATTAATATTACCAATTTATTAAAAATGCTTGGAACTGTAGCCCCAATACATCTGCATACACAATTTTCTTAGTAGCTCCCAAAGATTGCTATCTTGGCCAAAAGTATTACTTCATCCATGAAGAACAATAATAACGCAGGAAAGGGACCAAGAAGATAAGCAATAGCGCAAAGGAGACAGTGCCAAGCATTTAGGGTTTTGTTTTTGTTTTTTTTAAAGAAAATCAACAGCCCGTTGAAAAACACCTGGCAAGAGTCATCAAATGCCAATCCGGATTAAGAATCCGGGATCTTTCTGCCTGTATAAACTTCACGAATCGTTTCGTTTAACCAAACGCACCACCATCCCACGCTCGATGCCAACTCTGAAAAACCTTCACCGGGAAAGTTTAAAGGGAAATTCACGGAAGATGCCCCGAATCCCTGCGGGGAAAAGGAGGTAGGGAGGCTGTGGAAAGGGGGAAAAGGTCATTAAATAGCAAGCACCTCTTCTTTTTTTTCTTTACCTCCCGCCTGAAGCTTCTAAAACTGAAGTAAAAAAAAAAAAAAAGCCTTGAGCCACCGAGCCGTTTCTTAGCTCAGCACCCCGCGCTGACATTTCATCCCCGGATGCACATGCAAAAAAAAGAAAGGAAGGAAGGAAGGAAGGAAGGAAGGAAGGAAGGAAGGAAGGAAGGAAGGAAGAAGGAAGGAAGGAAGAGAAGAAAGAAAGAAAGAAAGAAAGAAAAGAAAAGGAAGGAAGGAAGGAAGGAAGGAAGGAAGGAAGGAAGGAAGGAAGAAAGAAAGAAAGAAAGAAAGAAAGAAAGAAAGAAAGAAAGAAAGAAAGAAAGAAAGAAAGAAAGAAAGAAAGAAAGAAAGAAAAGTAGATGACTTGCTGGGCATCAACAACTCAAAAGGAGAAAGGAGGAGAAAAGGCTTGGCGCTTCGCTTCTGGAGAGACCTGCCACGACTCACTTTATAAAGCAGGACCAAACAAATCAAAAAGTGCACCAACCCGGTGTGTGTGAATGTGTATGTGTGTGTGTGTGTGTGTCTATGCAGGGAGGGTGCAGGGGGGAAACGGTCACAGAAGAAGCCATGCCACCCAAAGGGCTTTCGCTAACAAGGTCTCGGGCAACAGCAAGCAGCAGCAGCAGCAGAACCTTTTCCGGAGGGCCGCCAGGAATAAATCAACTCTTTCGCTCCTTTGGCTTCTTCCAAACCGGCGCTCCGGCGGGACTTACCAGCAAAGCAAAGTGCTGCGGTCCCCGCGAGGATCTCCCTCTTAGGAAAGGAGCGCGGAGAAGAAGGGAAAGGCTGCACGGAGGACAGGGAGACGCAGCCGAGGCCCTGCGGAGTCCTCCGCGGCCGCAGATCACCGCCCCTTGTCCAGCGTCGCCCCGCCGGGAGCCGAGGGATACTCGGTTCGCCCTTTCTTCCTACCTGCCCGCCCCGCGGTGCTCGGGAAAAGGCAATTCCTTGGGTTCGCAGCACCGCATTCCACCCCCACCAACACACCACACCACCCGCCTTCCTTCCACCTCTTCCCCGCCTCCTTTTTGTCAGCGCTCCCGCCAGGGTCTTACATCAGCTGTCGCCGGACGGTGCCGGGAAGGAGAAGAGAATGAGGAGAAAAGCCCCGTTCGCCGTTGCCGTTTAAGCGCTCATTGCCACAAGATGCTTTGGGGAGGGCGCCTCCTCTCCTTTCCACACACACACACACCCAACCTCCCTCCCACCTCCCTCTCGCCCAGTTCCAGACCGCGGCGAGCGGCTTTTCTATTGGCAGCCGCCGCCTGAGTCGCTACTCCTGGTTCGCGGGGTTTAAGGCAGCTCCGAAAGGCGGCGCGTTTCTAAACCGGAGCGCGCGAGCGAGCGCGCCCCACGCGTGCGCCGTGGAGCGCGCGGGCGAGCGCGCCGCCGGCCGCCCGCCCGCCAGGCCCGCCGGAGATGTCCGTTGGTTGCGCGCGCGCACGCGAGATCCGGGAAGGCGGCGGCGGCGGCGGCGGCTGCTGCAGCCAGGGCAAAAGGGAACGGGCTCGCCTTAGCCAAGGGCCGCGCCGTCGCCTTTGCTGCACTTGCTTGGGCGGCTGAGGTGGCCTTTCCTCACGGCCACCTCAAAGACGTCGGCGGGGGTCAAGCGACTGGCGATGGGGGCGAGGTTGCCGTATCGGTGCCCTCAGAACAATACATCGAGAGGATGGCGGCGGGAGGGAGTGGGGGGGGGAGGAGAGGGGCGGCTTCATGGAGGTATTGTCTTCGATGCCGAGGCTGTGATTGAAGCTGGCCAGCAGGTGCCTCGTTCTTGAGGGCTCACAAATGGTGCCGGAACAGGTGCAGGACGGCAGAAAAGCCAGGCAGACTCCGAAATCAGAGCCATCACGAGATGGAAGCAGGCAGATCTGCTTAAAAAGGTGGATCTGAGCTGAGCCCCATGGGAATTGCCCCAATGAAAGTGTAGATCAGGACACACTTGACAACAAAGCAAGACTAGGCCAAATTCTTATCCGGTGCAAATTACAGAAACACCCAAGAAGAATTAAAAGGCAGCCAATGTCTATATTAAGCTCTTCGCCCCTATGAAACATGGAGAGGAAACAATGAACTCTGCAGCTTATTTCCTGGATCGCCTGCTGTTTCTCTATTTTGTCTCAGAACTTGAAACCCCGGCGTGAGCTGAAGCGCTCAGAGAGAAAGAGAGCAAAGCTTCAATTACATGGCCTTTTAAGAATTAGAATGCAAATGAACTTGAAAACGGGAGGACAAACATTGACCAAAAAAGAAAACATTTGCCCAAAAGCAAAAAGGATATCAAAGAGGGTTGCCTGCTTATTATGGAGATTGATTGCCTTTTCTAATCATGCTCTCATAACAGCTTGCGTGGTTTCCAAACATAATGTGAAATCAATTATACTACCCTAAATTTATAAAAGCAGTTCAAAACGGTCAAATTAAAATGAAAAATGTACTAGCCTTTGAGTAAGCTATAAATCAAAGGTGAGGCAGGACTGGACAATATTATTCCATATGGTCTAGTTTGAATTCATTAATTAAAAATTGAATAAATATAATTGTGCAATGACTCATAAGATTAGTACCAATGGTAATAGGCACTGAGTCCAAAACAACTGGAGTACCAGTTGAACGCATTGCTGTCCATCAACTGCAAAAGACAGCTTTACTTCAAACAGCTTACATCCTGTGAGGATACCTTTAACACATCAAATAACATGTCTATCCCAGATACTTTGAAAAAAAACCTCAATAGGTAGATAAAAGTGTTAAATCCAGCCTAAACTGCCTGACTGCGATGAATCATACTAATGAAGTAGAAAAATGTAACACAATTTCAATATGTGAATATTCTGACATTTTTAGTAATAACTTGTATACTTATTACACCTATTATTTTTTCAATCTTTTCTGTTTGCATTTCTCTTCTTTCAATATTCTTTTTTCCTTTTCCCTCTTTTTTTCCTTTTAATTTACCTTGTAAGTATATCGATCTACTTATATGGATATAACAGATTAATATGTATTCTTTTAATATATATTGGCTTTTACTCAACCGTAATCTTTTATTGTTACACAGTTTCCTCTAATTTTAGATATCTATATATAAAGTCTCTTAAAATATAATGCCAAAAAGAAATTTTAATTGTAACATTTTTAAAGGTCAGTTCAAATAATTGAGTTAAAGGAAGTAACAGCTGAATAAATGTCATTCTCTCCACGTGATATCAAAAGAAATAATTTACTATTGGGATGTATGCTTTTCCTCAGCACCACGTCTTTCTCATGTGTATCCAAACTAACCAGGAGAAAACCTCTGTTAAATATTTTAGTTTACTGAGGAGTTTATGACATCTGAAGATGGAGGACCTCAGATGAGTACAAGGTGGAAAAGATCTTGGCAGATTGTGTCAAGAAACACTGCCAAGGGAATGATCAGATAAAGACAGAATAGCCCTCAACTGGATAGTGGATGGGGCAAGAGGCTCTGAAGAGACCCTCCCTAGGTTCTCATGATGTAAAGAGAAAATTGAGGGGGGAATTATACTTTCAGACCTGCAACATCAATAGCTATAGATTTATATACCGCTTCACAGTGCTTTACAGCCCTCTCTAAGCGATTTACAGTTAGCATATCGCCCCCAACAATCTGGATCCTCCTTTTACCGACCTCAGAAGAATGGAAGGCTGAGTCAACCTTGAACCCATCAGGATCGAACTGCTGGCATTTGGCAAAATTAGCCTGCAATACTGCATTCTAACCACTGCGCCACCACAGCTCTTGATATCAGCCTAGCCAGGTAAACCAGATAGGAATCAGAATCAGATGAGCTAATTCTAATTTATTGTAAAGCTACATCGATAGAATTTTGGAAACTTAGCCTAACATCTTGGGGATTTGTTGCCCAAAATGCCATTCCTGGCATTATTCATTAGATACAAACACTGAGGTAGTATCTCAACATTGGAGATGCTTGCCCTATTGCAGAATCACCAAGGTCACTTAGATTCAAGATAGCCCAAAATAAAGTAAACTGGTTTCCTATCCAAATATCTTGGCCCAACTTTATCAAAATTCTTCCTATATACCGTTTTGATAGTTACACATTCCTCGCATTAACTGAGTAGTTACGATCATCACTTACTAGTTTTGTTATTTATCATCTGATTCCATGTTTATATGGAAGTAAGCATGAATAGGAAGTAACTATTGAAATGTCTGGCGTACTTGAGATGTAATTAGATAAATTTGTTGGAATGCAGATCAAAGGATGTAGGGCACATGCCTGTTTCCTTGTCAGAGTAACCAAAGCTACGCCAAATGAATGGTCTTCCACTGAACATATATGCTCCTAGCATAGGCTGAAGGCTGCAATGTATACTGGGATACCAGATGTGTTGAAGAAACATGCCAGTTCCTAAGTAAGTGCTATGACAACATATCCTAAAATCTGCCACTTAATTGGGAAGCTGGAACAAATCCTTTAAATTGCTGTCCATCACTGGTTTCAAAGTAGTCTTGTGTCAGTGGAAATACCCTGGGCCTGATAGTTTAGAGATTGCATGTATTTATACTTCTAATCTACTTTTTCATTCCAGGTATATTCAATTATTTACATTATTTTGCATAGCTTATAGTCTGTTCCAATGTGATCAGATTCAGCAGCTTACAATTTTTACCTCCATAACTCAGATTTAAACAGAACAGTAAATACATCATCTTTATAATTCCATAGAATCATATTGCTACTATGAGGAGTACACCGACAACCAACCAACCAACCAACCAACCAGATGGTATATATCCCAGAATTCTGAAGGAGCTGGTAGATATGATCTCAGAACCATTGACCCATATCTTTCAAAGATCCTGGAGCATGGGAAAATTACCAGAGGACTGGAAAATAACTGATGTTGTTCCCATCTTCAAAAAGAAAAGAAAGAAAAAGATTAAATAATAAATGAAATATAAAATGAAATAATAAAACAAATAAAATTAAATAATAAAATTAAATTTAAAAAATACAACCAGGAAACTACAGATGAATCATCCTGACCTCAATACCTGGGAAGAACTTGAAAAAAGATAAAACAACTCTTCAAACACTTAGAAACAAGCAAGGCTATTATTGAAAACCAACATGGGCTTGTCAAGAACAAATCATGTCAGACAAACCATATTGCATTATTTGACAAGGAGACTAAATTGGTCCAATGAAATGCTGTGGACATAGTATACCTGGACTTCAATAAGGCAATAGACAAAGTAGACCATTATGTATTTCTTGGTAAGATATAGTAGAAAAATGTGGGCTAGACAGCATTACCACCATATGGATTCATAAATAGCTGACCAACCACACTGTGTAGTCCTCAGTGGAACTATATTTACATGGAAGCATACAGTGGGGTGACCCAAGGTTCAGTGCTCTTTAACAGCTTCATAAATGATTTCGATGAGGGGATAGAAGGAATTCATCAAATTTGCAGACAACACCAAGCTAGAGGGAATAGCCAATACTTTAGAAAATAGGCTCAAGATCCTTCTAGATCTTGAAAGACTTTAACACTGGGCCCTGTCCAACAAAATGCAATTCAGTGGTGAGAAAAGTAAGATTTTACACTCAGACAAGAAAAATCAAATGTACATGTATAGAATTGGTAGGACATGGTTCAGCAGCAGTAACAGTAGAGGAATCTTGGAGTTCTAGAGAACAACCACTTAAATATGAGCTAGCAGTGTGCTGTAGCTGCCAAAAAAGCTAATGCAATCCTAGGCTGCATGAACAGAGGGATAGTATCAAGGACACAAGAAATTTTAGTACCACTTTATACTGCTTTGGTAAGATCCCATTTGGAATACTGTCAATCAATTTTCCAAAGCATCTAAAGGCAGGACAAGAAATAACGGATGGAAGCTTATGAAGGAGAAATCCAACTTAGAACTAAGGAGACACTTCCTGACAGTGAAAACAATCAGTGACACAGCTTGCTTCCAGAAGTTGTGGGTGCATCATCACCGGAGGTTTTTAAAAAGGGAAAGCCACTTCTCCAGAATGGTAGGGTCTGCTGCCTGAACGTAGGGTTGCACTAGATAACCTTCATGCTCTGTTTCAACTTTCTAAAATGGATTTGTCCACTTTATTCTTTTTAAAAATGAGTTTTTACTGGAAGCACTCAGGTAACCATTATGCTACACTTTATAGGATTGTGATCTTGAAAAGCAGAATAACTATAACAAGCTCAAATGAAGAATTCCAAAAACCATATCCCAATTGTTCATTTACAATGGGATGTAGATGGCAATGGAAAATGAACCTGGCATGATTCC